TTATGAGTTTGAGCCCCACACTGGGCTCTATGCTGACAGCTCAGAGCCTAGAGCCTGCTTTGGATTCTATGTCTCCCCTCTCTCTGCCCTCTCCCCTGCTCTCTCTCTCTCGCTCTCTCAAAATAAGTATTAAAAAATTTAAAAAAAAAAAGATACCTTGGAATAAATGTAACCGAAGAGGTGAAAGACCTGTACTGGAAACTATAAAACACTGATGAAAGAAGAAATTCAAGACAACACAAAGAAATGGAAAGACATTCCATGCTCATGGATTGGAAGAATAAATACTGTTAAACTGTCTATACTACACCAAACAATCTGTACATTTAATGCAATCCCTATCAAAATACCAACAGCATTTTTCACAGAGCTAGAACAAACAGTCCTAAAATTTGTGCAGAACCACAAAAGACCCTGAAATAGCCAAAGCAATCTTGAAAAAGCAAAGCAAAATGGGAGGCATCACAATTCTGGATTTCAAGTTGTATTTCAAAGCTGCAATAGTCAAAACAGTAGGGTACTGGCACAAAAACAGACACACAGACCAATGGAACAGAATAGAAAGCCCAGAAATAAACACACAGTTATATAGTTAATGAATGTTTGACAAAGCAGGAAAGAATATCCAATGGGAAAGACAGTCTCTTCAACAAATGGTGCTGGGAAAACTAGACAGCAACATGCAAAAGAATGAAACTGGACCACTTTCTTACACCATACACAAAAACAAATTCAAAATGGATTAAAGACCTAAACATGAGACCTGAAACCACAAAACCCCTAGGAGAGAACACAGGCAGTAAGTATCTTTTTTGCCATTGGCTATAGTAACATTTTTCTAGACATGTCTCTTGAGGTAAGGACACAAAAACAAAAATAAACTAATGGGACTATATCAACATAAAAAGCTCCTGCAGAGCAAACAGAGGAAACAATGAACAAAACCAAAAGGCAACCTATGGAATGAAAGAAGATATTTGCAAATGACATATCCAATAAAGGGTTAGTGTCTAAAAGAACCAATAAAACTCAATACCCAAGAAACAAATAGTTGAAATAAAAATGGGCAGTATTGACATTTTGACAATATTTATTCTTCCAATCCATGAGCAGGGAATGTCTTTCCATTTCTTTAAATCTTCTTCAATTTCCTTCATAAGCTTTCTATAGTTTTCAGCATACAGATCTTTTACATCTTTGATTAGATTTATTCCTAGGTATTTTATGCTTCTTGGTGCAATTGTGAATGGGATCAGTTTTCTTTGAAGCTTGTCTTTCTGTTGCTTCATTGATAGTGTATAAGAATGCAACTGATTTCTGTACATTGATTTTGTATCCTACAACTTTGCTGAATTCATGTATCAGTCCTAGCAGACTTTTGGTGGAGTCTATCGGATTTTCCATGTATAATATCATGTCATCTGCAAAAAGCGAAAGCTTGACTTCATCTTTTACTTTTGTTCTTGCTTTGATTTCCTTTTGTTGTCTGATTGCTGATGCTAGAACTTCCAGCACTATGTTAAACAATCCCAATCAAAATTGCACCAGCATTCTTCTCGAAACTAGAACAAGCAATCCTAAAATTCACATGGAACCACAAAGGCCCCGAATAGCCAAAGGAATTTTGAAGAAGAAGGTAAAGCAGGAGGCATCACAATCCCAGACTTGCCTCTACTACAAAGCTGTCTCATCAAGACAGCATGGTATTGCTTTAAAAACAAGACACATAGACCAATGGAATAGAGCAGAACTAGACCCCTGGCATTATGGCCAACTCACGACAAAGCAGGAAAAACATCCAATGGAAAAAAGGCAGTCTCTTTAACAAATGGTGCTGGGAGAACTGGACAGCAACATGCAGAAAGGTTGAAACTAGAACACTTTCTCACCATTCACAAATAAACTCAAAATGGATAAAGGACCTGTGGACAGGAAACCGTAAAACTAACAGGAGAAAGCAGGAAAAGACTCTCTGACTGACCTCAGCCGTAGCAATCTCTTTTCGACACATCCCAAAGGCAAAGGGAACTAAAAGCAAAAGTGAATTACTGGGACCTTATGAAGATAAAAAACTTCTGCACAACTAAAGGAAACAACCAACAAAACTAAAAAAGGCAATAGCGGAATGGAAAAGATATTTGCAAATGACATATGTCAGGACAAAGAGGCTAGTATCAAAATTATAAAGAGCTCATAAAACTCCACGAAACAAATAACCCAGTGAAGAAATGGAAAAACATGAATGAACCCCTTCTCTCTAAAGACATCCGGATGGCCAACAGGCACATGAAAAAGATGTTCAGCGTGGCTCCTTATCAGAAATACAAATCAAAACCACACTCAGGCATCACCTCACGCCAGTCAAGTGGCCAAAAATGAACAAATCGGAGACTATAGATGCTGGAGGATGTGGAGAAAGCAGGGAACCCTCTTGCACTGTTGGTGGGAGCCTGAAAATTGGTGCAGCAGCTCTGGAAAAGCAGTGTGGGGTCCTCAGAAAATTAAAAATAGACCTACCCTATGACCCAGCAATAGCACTGCTAGGAATTTATCCAAGGGACATACAGGAGTACTGACTGCATAGGGGCACCCATGCCCAATGTTCATATGGCACTCTCAACAATAGCCAAGTATGGAACCTAAATGTCCATCAACTGATGAATGGATAAAGAAATTGTGGTTATATACACAATGGAATACCTGCGATGGCAATGAGAAAAAAATGAAGCTATGGCCCTTTTGGCCCAGCAACGTGGATGGAACTGGAGAGTGTGATGCTAAGTGAAATAAGCCATACAGAGAAAGACAAGATACCATATGGTTTCCTGTATGTGGATCCTGAGAAACTTAACTTTGGGAACCCATGGGGAGGAAGGAAAAAAAAAAAAAAAAAAAAAAAAGAAGAAGGGTTAGAGTGGGGAGAGAGCCAAAAGCATAAGAACTGTTGAGGAGCAGGGGAACAAGCGGGAGTTGTCCTGGGGTGGGAGGGGAGAGAGGGGAGTGGGTGATGGGTGACCAAGGAGGCACCTTTTGGGACGAGCACTGGGTGTTGTATGGAAACCAATTTGACAATAAATTTCATATATAAATAAAAAAAAAAATGGGCAAAAGACATGGGCAGACGTTTCTCCAAAGAAGACATACATCTTCTCCAAAGAAGATGGCTAACAGGCACATGAAAAGATGCTCATTATCACTTATTATTAGGGAAACACAAATCAAAACTACAAGGAGATAACACCTCACACCTGTCAGAATGGCTAACATCAACAACACAAAAAACAAGAGATGCTGGAGGAGAATGTGGAGAAAAAGGAACCTCATGCACTGTTGGTGGAAATGCAAACTGGTGCAGCCACATGGCAAACAGTGCAGAGGTCCCTCAAAAAGGTAAAAATAGAACTACCCTATGATCCAGTAATTGCACTACTAGGTATTCACCCAAAGAATACAAAAATACTGATTTGAAGAGATACATGTGCTGCTATGTTCATAGCAGATTATTTACAATAGTCAAGATATGGAAGCAGCCCAAATATCTGATTGATGAGTGGATAAAGAGATGAGATATATACATATATTATTCAGCCATAAAAAATAATGAAATCTTGCCATCTGCAAAGATATGGATGGAGCTGAAGAGTATAATGCTAAGTGAAGTAAGTCAGAGAAGGACAAATACCCTGTAATTTCACTCATATATGGAATTTAAGAAAGACAAAAAAAAAAGGAGCAAAGGGGGGAAAAAAGAGACAAACCAAGAAACTAAGATTCCTTAACTGTAGACAACAAACTGATGGTCACCAGAGGGGTAGGTGGGTGGAGGGATGGGGACAACAGGTCATGGGGATTAAGGACTGCACTTGTCATGATGAGCACTGGTAATTAAAGTAAAAATTTTTTAAAAAATCAACAAAAATGTTGCTGGTATTTTCACAGGGATTGCATAAATCTGCAGATTGCTTCTGGAAATCTGGACATTTTAACTATTTGTTCTCCCAATCCATGAGCATGGAATATCTTTCCATTTTTTCATGTCATCTTGAATTTCTTTTATCAATGTTTTATTTCTAGGTATTTTATTATTTTTGGTATTATTGTTATTACTATTTCTGATACAATTGTAAACAGGACTGTTTAATTTCTCTACTACTTCGTTATTAGTGTACAGAAATGCAATGGATTTCTGTCTGTTGATCTTGTATCCTGTGATTTACTGAATTCACGTATCAGTTCTTGTAGTTTTTTGGTGGACAAAGATACTTTTTTAAAGGGTTCTAGCTATCAATAACAAAAGTGAAGAATATTTTCTGAAGACTGCTTCCATTATTAGTTTTTTTAAAAATTCTAGTTAAAACGACAGAAATCTGCCATCAAAGACTTTTTAAAGAAAGCAAGTCTCGTGTCTACTGGAGGGCCAATACCATTGAGAACCATGTCTCATCTATTTCTGAACTCTAGACATTAGCCCATCCAAATTACATAGGTTCAAATTTATTCTGAATCACTAAGGAAAATTACATTGTATTTAGTGTACTCTGAGTAGACGGGAGAAGACTTTGTTTTAGAAAGCTTTCTGTTGAAATAAAAATATAAGTTAAGATTATAAATTTTAAGGGATATTCCTGGGATATTCCTGGACCCAGAATATATGTTCTTGGTGGCTAAAATTATGCTATGATGACACATAACTGTATACAACTGAAAATGTCTATTATAATCAAGATTCTTTCTCCTACCATTTCAGAAACTAGAAACCAAATTCCAACAGCGAGAATAGAGACTGCAGTCAGAACTCTTCCAACACAAAATAGAGCAAGAGTCATGCCTGCTGAACATATGTACAGAACGCACGGAAGAGTTACGCTCATAATGACACGTTATGTTATCAAGTACCCTAGGTCTCACACATCCATTGTCAGTACAAAGGTACTTTTCACCTAGATACTGATCAAGACAGCTAGGAAGCAGGAAAGGACGATGACATAAAAACCCTTTACCTCCATTCTCATGATAATTCTATTGTTTCTTGTTGTGATGCTCATCACATGCTGAAACCTCAAATCTCTGGCTTGAAGACCTAATTCTTGATATAAGTCAGTTTTCTTCTTTTCTATAAAAGAAAGATTTTTAACAAAAAGCGTGGGCCAAACCAATAAAGTGAGGAGTTTAGTTTTGTATCAGAGCACCCCTCCCACCACCAAGATCACTTTCTACTACCAGAAACAAGCCAAAATTAGTCTTTTTAGTGGCCATTTTAGCCTCAAAACAAATTCAAGTAAACTTGGTCAAACTCTAATAATTCTTTTTTGGTCTTATCCATACTTCATAAAATGTCTTTGTACACAGAAGCCCCCGGGGACCAAAATAACCACAGCCATACATGATTAGGACTCACGGTATTGATTTCAAGCTCTAGAGACGGACCACCTTTTTTTGTTTTTTGTTTTTTGTTTTAATACATATTGTAAAGAACTACATTTCCTGTTTTCTATCTTCAGTATTTTAAATCTGTGAAGAGATAATTCAACTTTCTTGGTCCTTGGACTAACAGAAAATGAGAAAATAAAGTCAGTTCTTCACTAGATTCTCCTACCTGAAAACTAAACTTACTACCTAAGAGAAAGCATGATGGATGAAGAAACTCAAGAAACGATATGGTTACAGTAGCATCTGTACTTGTAGTGTCAAATCACACCTGTGACAGAGCTCGAAGTACAACAGTCATTTGAAGGACATAATGAGCAAAACACACCCAAAATATCCCACCAGGATCTCAGCAATGGCAGGGACAGGATCATGGGGTTGGAAGCACATGAGAGATCTGCGGCCGGCATCTGAGGTCAGACAGTAAAGCGATGCTTAGTTTCATTTTAAAAAGTAACAGTCCATCAGCAGCAGAGTCCGTCTAGTGCCCTGTCCTTCCTGTCTTCTGTCACCCATTGCCACTGCAATGTCAATAGTATTCTGTAAGCCTGTCTTACATGTGGAACAGAAGATGTGTATGTGGACTAGGGCAGTGAAAGGGAGACTAAAGAGAAATTAAATGCACTCCAGCTGCATACCAGCCTCTGCTCTCAAAATATCCCTTTAACATCTGGTTAGAGAGGAAGTGGCTCCTGACAAAAAAACAAAAACCAGTTCTGGGAGAATTGTCCAGGTACTGCCAGTTTCAATTAGGACAGATGGACAAATGCTGAAGACAGATCTCTTTCAATATATCCACATACGCAAAGACAATCCTACTCAAAACACTACAATTTTTTAATTTCCATCAGATTCATTCACTGATTAAAAAAGTAATTTACAAAAAAATTAAACATACTCACCAAAAGAAGTAACGTTTCCCTCTTTGTCAAATTTTGTCTGAAGAAAGATAATAAAAACAAAATATTATTTTCTCCCAAATGAGACTACTTATAGTATTATACCATATGGTATTATATCTCCCAAATACAAAAAAAAAATGCACAGATAAACCATAACAGCTTCTTTAGGTTAAATTCGGTTAGGAGTTAAGGTTTAAAAGAATCTCTTTCATTTGCGAGGATAAATGTGACCTTGGATTAACTTTCTGTCTTGGTTCCACTGGAAATCTGATAAAGGAGTATCAATGTGTCATAGGCAACATTGCTTCTGGTAAAAATGCCTGATACCTGCTAGACCGCACAGGACCAGGAAGACTGTGGACAAATTAGAAACCTCGTGGGAAGCCATGGCTCTGCTTTTCCTGGAGCATGGCTGCTCTTGTAACTGGCCGCGTTCCTCGCCTGGAGGGTGGGCCCTGGAGCTGGTTATAGGAGACACCGGCACTACAAGGTGTGGGGATTCTGAGCCAAGGTGTCACGCATACCCACCTTTAAGAACATCAACTCCTTGTACCTGAGCTGTCACATGGGGTCCAGAGAAGCTGCTGGATGGCTGCAAGGGCTTCTTTTGAAGAGGACACATCTGACGCTGCCCTTCTGTGTTTCCTTTCCTTTATCCTTCTGAGTAGACTGAAACCAACTGTGGCTCATCTTGTGAATCTAAGGATCTACTGGAGGCTATCAAGTCTCTCTGGTGAGTGTAGGGGAATCAATAATGATTTACTGAAAAGGCCTCTTCTGATAGTTTGAAGAGAGGACACAATGCAGAAAATCTACCTATTTCCCAGAAAGCAGAGGGAACATTTTTCTACAATACTTGTCCACAAGTACTGAATACTTGTCAAGTTTGAATGTGTCAAATAACATTTAATGAATCACTATATACTAGGCTGCACTAATTACTGTTTAATATGCATTTCCAGAAAGACCCTAAGATATAGTTGAAGCAACAAATGCTGGGTTATTACCATGGAAACGTATGCATGCTGTGTTAACAGCAAAAGAACAACATCCCACAGTATATATTTTAGCTGGTTTCTCATGAGCAAGGTAAGGTCAACATAAATATGAGTACCATAAGCCATCAAAGGGCAAATTTACCTCAAAAGGAACTATTTTGTGTAATACAGACTAGGTTTCCTTAATTTCACAAATACACATACCAGCTGAAGAAAGTTTGAAAATAAAGTAAAATAAAACTAATCACCCCAAATGACAAATTTTGGAGAAAGCCATGCCAATATTTTACTAAACGTTCTCCCAGCCTTTTTCCTCTTCAATACACTCATGTTACACACACTTCTTTGCAGTCGTGCCTCCTTTTCCAACTTAACGATATATGAATACTTTTGCAGGTCAATATTCACCATTTTTTCTTTAATATTTTGATAAAGATCATACAAACTATGATTTAAAAAAAATGTTTATCTTATAAAGTAACATCACCTAGAAAATGAGCTGATTAGTGAGCTCTCCTTTCAAATAGTATCAACTGATTTTCTCAAGTGTTTTTGGTACACAATTTCACCTGCAAAGAACCTTCTTTCAGTATTTAATTTCTGAATTTATTCTTAAAATTTTTTTTTAATGTTTATTCTTGAGAGAGAGAGAGAGAGAGAGAGAGAGAGAGGGAGAGAGAGAGAGATTGTGAATGGGGGGAGGGGCAGAGAGGGAGGGAGACACAGAATCTGAAGCCAGCTCCAGGCTCTGAGCTGTCAGCATGGAGCCCGACATGGGGCTCAAACTCACAGACCAGGAGATCATGACGTGAGCTGAAGTCAGAGACTTAACTGACTGAGCCACCCAGGCACCCCTGCTTCGTACAGTTTATAAAGAAAAGTTCTTATGTTCATAAGCCTGAATAATAATGATGATAATGGCTAATATATATCAAGCGCTTACCATGTGAGGCACTATTTTAACGGTTTTATGCCTCTTCCTTATTGGTGTATAGAGATGCAACAGACTTCTGCACCTTGATTTTATATCCTGTGACTTAGTAAATTTATGGGTTAATTAGTTCTAGCAATTTTTTGGTGGAGTCTTTCAGGTTTCCCACTTAGAGTACCATGTTGTCTGCAAATAGTGAAAGCTTGACTTCTTCCTTGCTGATTTGGATGCCTTTTATTTCTTTTTGTTGTCTGATTACTGAGGCTAGGACTTCCGGTGCTGTATTAAAGAGTAATGGTAAGAGTGGACATCTTTGTCTTATTCCTGAATCTTAAGGGTTTCACACACAGTTGAGAGTTAATTTGAACTTCACTAGGTACTATTACCCCCAGTGTATACCAATGAGAAAACTAAGGCACAAAAATGTTATCACACCTTGTCCAAGTCTGCCCAGTTAACAGAGGTAGAGCTGAGTTCTGAATTTAGGAATGCTCGTTCAGAACAGACACATTATTTTTTTTAAATTCAACTGTTGTTTTGAAAAAGTTAAAGCCCTACAAAAAAAGCTGCAATATCTTACAACCAAACCCTGTGCAACTTTCACCTAGAGTCCTCTTTTGCTACGATTCTGCCCCAATGGCCTATTTCTCTTTCTTAGATATGTGTCTGTGATACACATTATTCTTATTATTTTACTCATTTCCCCCCTGAATCATTTCAGATCATCGCAGAGATCATGAACCTTTAAAGCATACACTCTTGGGGCGCCTGGGTGGCTCAGTCAGTTAAACGTCCGGCTTCAGCTTGCTCGGGTCATGATCTCGCGGTCCGTGAGTTCGAGCCCCGCGTCGGGCTGTGTGCTGACAGCTCGGAGCCTGGAGCTGCTTCAGATTCTGTGTCTCCCTCTCTCTCTGCCCCTCCCCCATTCATGCTCTGTCTCTGTCTCAAAAATAAATAAACGTTAAAAAAAAAAAAAGCATACACTCTTAAACACTACACTTTTTCATTTCAACATGCTTCTGCATATATTGTATTGCATAGCACGGGTTTAAGCCCCTGTACGGCCAACAGCCTTCAAGGACTTCTAAACATATTCACAGGGAAATCTTGAGGAGGCAGTGAGGAGCTGTGATTTGAACGACCAGTTCTAGTATCAAAAGAAGACCTCCACATTCAACACCGAAGTTTCAAGCTGCTCTTAAGCAAATCTAGCTGGCACTCAGGTCACCAAACAAAACACAAAGACAACATGACTTACAAGTATAATGATTCACTATGAAACAAAAAATAAGTATTATCTTGGCTGACCAGTCCACCCCAGTTAACTTAATAAGTACGGGAAGTACTTTCTTTAAGTTATCAAATGTACCATCGATACTCACCACAGTAAACACCGGGGCTACGCTGGCTAAAGTGGCTTGAGAGACATCAGAAGTTCTAAACCGGTGCATTTCACCTGAAGAATAAATCAAGGAATTCTCTGTGGTCATACAACAGGTTTCAACGTATGGCTAAGATAGAGAGCTCTTATAGTATGCAGAAGTCTTCAGATTATTTTTTGGAAACATTTTTCCTAGAGGAATGAGGAATTCCTAGAGGAATGTCCCTTTTAACACTTGTAGGTGATTATATTAGATCTGGCAGGGAATGATTTTTAAAAGTAATGGCTTAGGTGAGGTACTAGAATAATTTACGGATTCCAACCACCTTTTTTCTAATGATTACTGCTATCTCAGAGTTGAATGCACAAACGTATAACACTGTTCTGAGATTAAAAGAAAATATCCATCTTTTTTTGCAGAATTTAAAAAGGCTTCTCATGAAAATTATATTGGTAGACATATTTTAGAAAACACATTGCAAGTAAAACCCGTTTCAGCATTCTAGGATCAGGATTATTGGATCTCTAAGTCATGAAACCTATAGATTTTACCTCCATGTATTAACTTTTCCACACATATACTTTACACAGTAAATACTTATGTGATAGCCCATTGAACTGGAATGCAGATCCCATACTCAAAAAAAACCCAATGAATTGGAATGAAAACAAATCCTTATTCGAAAATTAATCTATTTAAAACATGTAATCAGACTGAGTTGCAGTGAGTTCTGAAGAATAACCATGTCGATTTAATGACACAAAGGATGCTGTATTCAAAATACTAAAAAGGAATGGGAAGAAGGTGTAAAAAAAATTACCAATTATTTTACACTTCCAAAGTAATCACACGGACTCCACAAAATGTGGAGACACAGTCTCCTTTCCGATCTTATTCTTTCCCATTACATACACTTAGTGACTCCTGTAATTGTTAGCATCTGGGGCTTGTTGGTTCCCCTTTAGAAAATACAAATTATAAGAGTCAGGTGAATAAAAGTAAAAGCGCGATAATAAATCAGCATTTGCTAATCAACCACAAGTTAGATAAAGTGTTTCCAAATTGGGAATTGTGAATCTCAACGTTTGTCCTAAAACATCAGATGGGCTGAAACTGGGATCTCGAGCATTATTAAAGGAGGGAAAATGCGATGTACCCGAATACAGACTCCCTGTTGAGCGTGGGGAAGGACGTGGTGATGGCGAGTTGTACTTCAGAAAGCTTTTGAGAATAAAACTGAGCAAACTAGAGGGCAGCGCAATACTTTTGAGGAGCCATACATTGTAACGTCGCTCGTTTCTGAGTATTCTCACCCACATTCTCACACTTGGGGAAATGTGATCATTATGCTGTATCACATGGTGAAAACATTAACAGCTCCGATTCCTCCTCCTCGCCACTGCTCGGACCCCTGTGGCTGTCACACTGCCCTGGAAAACTAAGTCAGAGCTTCCTCGGGAGCAACTCTTACTACGAAGTCTCCCAAGTTTTCAGCCTTATTTATAGGTGCGTCCCCATTCCTCACTTGAGCAATGGGAAAAGGGTTACCAGTGTCCATCAGGAAGGGAAAGAAGACTGGGAAGAGACAGTAACAGACAATTATTTCAGGCGGACGAACCCAATCTCGGCTTCAGAGCTACCATATAAGTAACTAGGGAGAAATTCTCGTTAAGAACATTCTTCCCCTTGGAGCACTGCAGAGGGAGGGTTGCAGCGAGGGGCGTGGGGACCTCGGCGCTGGGCGGACCTTCCGGGCGGGAGCCCCAAGGGCGGACTCGGGGCTGAGGCCTGCGCAGGGTCGGACGGTCGGGTCAGGGCCCTGAGGTCGACGCAAGATCGGCGTCCAGGGCCGCGGAGAGGGCCGTACCTGCCACCGGGGGCCGGCGGGGCCCGCACAGCGGCGCGGCCCGGCTCCGCCCGAGGATGTGGGCCGCGCGGCCGCAGGCGGCAACTGGGCGCGCCCCAGGCGTCAGGCCCTGGGCCAGAGCGCACAGCGTGCGCCGGGGCAGGAGCCGGCTCAGGCTCCGCAGGCGTTCCATGGTGCTTGAGCGAGCAGGAGGTGACAGCAACACCCCAACCCCTCATGCCGGACGGTGGCGGGTCGGCCGGCAAGACGCGGCCCCGCGCGGGCGCTTTAAAGAGCGACGGCTGCGTACGGCGCATGCGCGGGTGGCGCCGCGCCTGCACCTCCTCTCCCGCGCATGCTCGGAAGGTGACTTTGGGCAAGTTCCTTGAGTCCCTTGGCCAAGCTCCTTGAGTCCCTTGGCCAATCAGAGTTCGCGTCCCGTACGAGGCAAGTCGGGGGTAGGTGGGCGGGGCGCGCTTACCTGCGCCACCCCAGCTGCGGAGCCGGAGCTTAACCCCTGCGACCTTGCAGAGGTCAGGCTGGAGCGTAAAGGGTGGGTCATTGCTAGTGATTGGTGATGGTTGGATGTAAAGAAATACACGACCATAATGCTTTGTCGTTTCTGGAGCGTCTTCGTACTGAGGATCAGATATGCAGTTTGGAAGTGAGGAACTTCTACCCCGTTCCTAACTCAATTTATATTTAAATGTATTGTAGCAGAAACAACTGCCATATGGAATGATGGACTAAACTTCTGCTGGTGAAGATGGAAGCACATAAACTCACAAGATTTACACTCAGTATTTAATCAACTGTAAGATAGTATCAATTCCAAGGTAGCATTATTTTATGTACCAGCAAGAAAGAAAAAGTGCTGAGAAATTATGCTTTCTATCATTTTAAGACTCATCCCAATTTCAGTCTTTTTTTTTTTTTTTTATTCGAGAGAGAGAGCCTGTGCATATGCACAGGCTAGCCAGTGGGAGAGGGTCAGAGGGAGAGAGAGAGAGAGAGAGAGAGAGAATATGAATGAATCCCAAGCAGGCTCCACACTGTCAGTGCAGAGCCCCACATGGCTCCATTCCGTGAACGATGAGATCATGACCTGAGCTGAAATCAAGTCCAAGGCTTAACCAGCTGAGCCACCCAGGCATCTCCTAATTTCAGTCTTTATTTAAAAAGTGGGTTTTAGAAGTGATTAAATACAGTATATGTGTATATTTTTATTTTTTTAATGTTTATTTTGAGGGATCATGCATGTGTACAAGCAGGGGAGGAGCAGAGAGAAAGAGAGAGAGAGAGAGAGAGAGAGAGAGAGAGAGAGAGAGAGAGAGAGAATTCCAAGCAGGCCCCCTTGTGGGCCAGGAGCCCCACTAGTGGCTTGAACTCATCACTGAGGGATCAGGACCTGAGCCGGTAGCAAGAATCAGAAGCTCAATGAACTGAGTCACCCTGGCACCCAGTATATATATATGCATATTTTTAAAGCATGAGTTAGTAGACTTGTGCCTTCCAGAGTAGTAACACAAGACAGACACGAGCTTCACAGATTCCCAATCACTGTGTATAAACACAGAACAATGGAGAACTTTTTGTTTTTTCTGTAGGGTATTGGGAATGAAGCTGAATCAGGAAGCCAGCAGACAGAAGACTTCACAGAAGAGGGGGTGTTTGACTTCAGCACTGAGAGCAAAGGATAACATCAAGCCTTAAAATCTGGAAAGAACGTACCTCACAGATTTTTCATTTTACTAAGCGCTTCAGTGATGAAACAGTTCTTCCTAAAACACGCCTTCAGAGACCTTTCTTTGAGACAATATGTGATAATTCTTTTAAAAAAACTTGACCCCCCCAGCTCAATGAGACAGCTCTGTTTAAGATGGCCTTGCAGAGCCTTAGAAAAGCTCTGGGAAATGGCCAGACACATCACCTTGCAATTCGTGTCAAGGGTTTGGAATTTAACCTGAGAAGGGTAGGCGCCTTAGGGGGACTTCAATGAGCAGCGAGGTAAAGATCTGAGGTATGTTTAAATGGATGATTCTGTGTGGGGAAGAGATTACAGAGAGTCAAGTGTGGAGGCAGAGAGATGGCAATGATGGTTTGTGCCAAGATGGAGATGGGGAGACAGGGCGAGCTTGGTCCTATATATTGAAGACCTAGTTGACAAGATTTGCAGATGGGATGTAAGCAAAGAGGCATAGAAGTTGACTACTTTTTTTTTTTTTTTTTTTTTTTTTTTTTTTTTTTGCCTAAACAACTGGGCAATCATGATGGCATCTAGTGAGAGGGAATTTGAGAGCAGAGAAAGTTGGAGATCAGGTTATGGCATTGTGTTTGATTCTGGACATGCTAAATCAAATATCTAAGCATTGATATCAAGTAAGCAGTCTGGAGTTTGGGGGAGATGTTGGTGCTAACATATACATTGGGAGCTGTGTAGAGGTATTGAAAGCCATGAGACTGGGTATGATCTCTTAGGAAGCGAGACAGCAAAGAGAAAAATTTCTATGATTGAGCCCCAGATCCTCCAGCATTTAATCGTCGAAAAAAGAGGTGGATCCAGCAGAAGAATATGAGAAGGGGTGGCCAGGAAGGAGGAGTAAAATCAGAGGGTGGAATCCTTGAAGCAAAGTGAAGAAAGTGTTTCAAGAAAGAGGAAGTGCTCAATTACGTCAGATGCTACTGACAGGTAAGATGAGAAATGGGAATTGCTTATGTTGGAAGTGACACTGGAGTTTCCTGGTGATCTTGACAGGAGCAGTTTCTGTAGGGGTAGGGATTGGGGTCTGAATAGTCATCTTCCTATTCAGCCCAAGCCGTGACAAGATCCCAGAAGACTTCTGCACCTATATAACAATTTAGCCTTAAGTTTTTTTTTAAGTTCACTTACTTTGAGAGAGCAAGCAGGGGAGGGGTAGAGAGAGGGAGAGGGAGAGAGAGACAAGCCCAAGCAAGCTCCACGCTGTCAGCACAGGGCTCAAACTTGAGAACCGTGAGATCACGACTTGAGCCGAAATTCAGAGTTGGACGCTTGACTGACTGAGCCACCCAAGCACCCTGCCTTAAATTTCTTTAATCTCTTTTCTCACCTCTTGAGCTCCAAAGCATGTCGGTTACCTCATCCCCACCTCTGGATTATATTCTTACCTAGAAATGTTTCATGTCAGGAAAGCCATACCAGTAACACACTCTCTGACACTAGCCTTCTGGAGGCTTTATACCCACAATTATATTTTCACATCAGACCCTTGCTGGCTGTTCTCCCTTCTCTACCTAGCCTGGATTATGTAACTGATCATCTGAAACCTCTATGACTTAGTACTTGGAACATGTAGCATTCAGGGGTGTAATCCTAGAAACTACTTTATTTTTGTCCCTCCAATCCTGCTGAGTGGGGCTAGTCCTTCTCCAGCCTCTTGAAAACTTGGGTAGGTCCCATGACTCTTCTGGTCCCTCGGCCCTATGTTCACTCTGTTATCAATTCAGTAATTGAAAACGTCCACTCCATATACCAATTTCAATTCAGTAATTTGCAGTATCAGGCCCCTTATACTAATCACAGCTGCAATCTTCATTCAAAGAAAGGACTTGGTACCTCTCTCCTTGTTGGGCCTGGAGGCAAACAAAAATTTTTGGTGTGGACAGAGATTTTGGACAGCTCCCCCCAACCCCTTCCCACTCCTTTTCTTACTCCATGGCTGCCATTTCTGACTCTGCCGGGGCAGTGAAGCCAAGTTAGAATGAACGAGTCTTTGACTGAAAGGCAGCATCGTGCTCTCTATAGGCAGGGCAGATATTGAAGCTGACCCCATTGAGGGCATGTCCATGGGTTCTCTGGAAGACCTTCCCCTCTTCCCTCCAGGCCCATCTGGTTGCCAGTCCTTTGATGAGGACAGTGACCCTCCTGATCACTTACAAATTCTGCCTCTTCTTGCCTCAAATGACCAGGCTCCTCTTTTCCCAACCTGCTGCTCTTTTGGGCAGGATCCTTTAAAAAGCAACCCAGACTGATTTCCCATTGTCACGTGTTCACCCCAGGATTCATGCACCATTAGAAGGGAGCACAATTACTTCCCCAGCATAGAGCTGCTATCCTTTGCTTAGGTACAAGCCTGTGACATCTTCAAGCTCTCAGAGTGATCTTAAGACGTCCCTCTCAATAGACTTGAAGTGAGTGGCAAGCACTCTCCTTACCCCTTTCTCTGGAAGTGTTTCTAAATCTTCCACACCATGTCTGGCCTCAGTCTTCAGTCTTCTGATCCTTTGACATCTTCCACCTGGGTGAGAGGTCCACCTGTGTAGTGGCTTCTCTATAAATTCCCTTCAGAAGTTGGTAACTGACCTTGGTGCTGGTACCCTATCTTGGCACTTCAGCAGAAACACCTATATTCCTCAGCACCCTCGATCCTTTGCACTTCTTTTATTCATTAATGAAGTTATTCATTTCACAAGCACTTGCTGAGCATAACAATGTGCCAAGTATTATTTTAGGTTCTGGGGTAAATGCGTGAAGGAAACAAAGTACCTGTCTGTAGTGAGTAGAATGCTGCCCCCCCCCCCAAATTTATGTTCGCTCGGAACCTCAGAATGTGACCCTATTTGGAAGTAGGAGTCTTTGCAGGTTCAACTGGTTAAGCATCTCAAGTTGAGATCATCGAGGATTTACGGTGTGCCCTCAATTCAGTGACTAGTAGTCTTTATCAGAGAAAGGAGAGGGAGGCTTGACCACTCAGACCTAGCAGACCACCACGTAAAGGTGGGAGTAAAGATTGGAGTGATTCAGCTGTAAGCCAAGGAGCGCCAGAAGCCACCAGAAACCAAAAGAAGCAGGGATGGATTCTCCCCTAGAGCCTTCAGTGGGAGAGAGGTCTTGCTGATACCATGAGTTTGGTCTTCTAGCCCCCAGAACCGTGAAAGAATAATGTTCTGTTGTTTTAAGCCGCCCGTTTTCTGGTACTTTGTTACGGCAGCCCCAGAAAATGCATACCCTGCTTTCCTGTAGCTTAAATCCTAGTTGATGGGGGCCCATAAAATTCGGGGCCCCAGCTGTGCCCTCACTACCACCCGATGATTATTTCACTGCCCTCTCTCAGTCCCTGCCCCCCTTCTCTCCCCGTAATACCTCCTTTAAGTCTTTACTGGTGTCCTCAAACCTCTTATTCCAGCCAAGCTCCTCCAGTCATTTCCAGTACA